CACACACACACACACACACACACACACACACGCGCGGCAATTGTTTTTGGCACACACACACACACACACGCCGTGCGATCGTTTTTGGCGCGCACACACACACACACACACACACACACACTAAGAGAGCGTGTGCAGAACGACATAGATATCCCAGAATTGCAGGTGATGATGTCCCAATCAATCCACCATTCTCGACAGCACAGATGCTATCACAGAGCTGCCAAGGTTACAAGTGAAAAGGGGCAACATGCCGATGCTCGAGCAAAAGGACTAATATCCGCAGTATTCCAACTGGCAACATGATGCTGAATGAGCAAAGAGGCAGAGGCCAGAGAGAGTATATTAATCCAATATTCCTAAGATTTGACTTCCATTTCAGAGCCTTTCAAGGCAGGGTAGTGCAACAAGCATACATCTTGCATACTACGCCAAAAATAGCGGTGATTGCATTTATTCCTGACATTACAAGTGCACTCTGAAGACCATAGGGAACAGAAGCACGACGACTATCCTACAATACGTGAGGGCTACTACGAATCTCGAAGTTTCCAGCATGGTTGCCTTTACTACTGATCTTGCTTCTCATGACAAAAACAGCATGGAAACATGCCACGTGTTCATTGCAGCCACTCATTCTTGGCTCTGTTGCACACCTCTTTGTGCAATCCTGCATCCGCCCCATAGGTTCTCCGCTCCTCCGCAACAATCCTCACTCCTCGTCCATGTGCAATGCTGCCTCCCGAAGTCTTGTTGCTCGGTGTCCCTCTCCCCAGACTCATCCTTGCCGTCTGGAATGCTGCCCCACGGTGCCACCTGCGCAATGACGATGCTACATTCTCAGCTCCACAATGATCCTCACTCCTCGTATTCGACCATGCGTATCTTTAATGCTGCCTCTGGTCGTCTCGTTCGTTGCGACTTTGGCCGCTGCCCCTCCGCTCCACTAGCTGACGAACCCGATGTGCTCGCATTCCCATTCGATCCTGCTGATGCATTCGAGATCAAACCGCCCGCAAAATTTGCATTTGTGCCTCCCCATCCACCGTTGGCAATTACTGACATGGCGGAGGACATCAGGACATCGTCCTTGTACATATTGTCATCGATGTCCGCAACCACAAGAATATCACCATCCCGCAGGAGAAATGGCTGACCACGGATGTTCAGGCCACCAGGAACACAGACACAACTAGCGGTGAGGCCATCGCTTCCCTGGAGTGTTTCTCTTGTGAGGGGTGTGCTGGTTCCCGACTTGTTCATGTCCGGGCCTAGCAATGAGGTAGCACTGCTGCTCTTGCCATCACCATCAGAGGCCAGACTTGCGTGCAGCGTCTCCCCTCTGAGTGGGGTGCTGTTACCTGAGTCGTTCATATCTGCCAAGAAGACAAGGCTGCCACTCTTACCTCTGGCTGCTCCAAAGGAAATGTTCCCTCGCAAACACCCCTCCCTTGTGAAGGGTGTGCTACTTCCCGACTGGTTCTGCTCACTTCCTCCTTCGGGCGTGCTACCTGTGAGCGGAGTGCCATTCCCACTCTGATGAAGATGGGCAAGAGCCTCTGAGACTGCACCCCTACTCTCGCCATCCCTCTCCCCCGCTTCCACAACGCTGTCAACGCCAGAATGAGTAACACAGCAGCTGATGTTCCTGGCCGCCAATCGCTGCGTAGGGGACTCTTGGCATGTTCGAACCGTGTGTGAGTCTGCTGACGTCATCCCGCTCTCCAATTGATGGCAAGCTGAATCCTCAGGGAGTTTTGAAATGGCCTTTTCCCCACTTTCCCTATGCTGTGCATCCCCATTCATGGTTTTGCTTCCATCTGTCTTCGCGCGTATTTCGTTCCAGGCATTCACCATTGGACCTCTGTCCTGATTGGCGTTGGCCACTCGTTTGTCAGAAACGGCATCGGAAAGTTCACTTCGCATTCCTCTCTCAACCTCACCTGTGAGCACTTCAGGCAATGAGTGTGGGGGTTGATCGGCCTGTTCACCTTCCCTGACCACGCTGTCATCTTTTGGCTCAAAGGCCTGTTGCTCTCCCACCATCTGCGGCGGGTTAGGCTGGCTCTCGTCGTGGACCAACATAGCACCACCACCAAGCTGACCAGATTCTTGCAGTACAGATTGACTGCACGCGCTGTCTGTCGCAACTGCGGCATCAGTGCCCGAGGTCATATCAATCCATGACTCGATAGCTTGCCCATTCAGCACATCGCTAGTGGTCTCTAAGGAATTGTAGCTGCTCCCCGCAGTTTGTTTGCTAGCCGCCACATGACTCACCTCTCTCGTTATCGAGTCGCAAGCGTTAACAGTATGGTCACATGGGCGTGGTAAGATGATTGGAGGCTTCAGCTCTTGTTTTGGGGGATCATCCGGCAGCATCTTCCATATGCCATTTTTGAAGAGCTTTGTAACCTGCAAAAGACGAAAGTGAACAAATTCCACTGTCAGTCCCATGTTTCTCTCCAGTGTTTCAATAATGAGAACGTCAACGCTACATACGGGAACTCCAACCTGCTCACAAACTTTGGAAACTCCCAACACATCCAGGTGCAAGGCATGAGACCCTCGGCCTAGGTAGGAAAGGGTCTGTGCCCCCTGGAAACTGTTTTTGCCCGCCCTAAGTCAAGGCAGGCCCCTGAAAACTTCGATGAGGCCTATTTTGAGGCCGATGTGAACAGAAACGGCCTCATGGGTTGATTGCTGCACGCAGCATCTCCAACTGACCGGAACGCTCGATCGGTTGAAGATGCTGAGGCCCAGGGCACTTACAATTGACGCCAATCTGAGCAGAAAGGGCCTCGTAGGTTGGTTGCTGCACGCAGCATCTCCGACCGACCTGTGGGCGCGATCGGTTGACTGAGCAAAGATGAAGAGGCCCAGGCCACTCACAGTTGAGTCCCAGGCACATTCTGGAAGGCTCCTTCGCGCACCTACTGGGACAGAGGCCGAGCATCAAGAGCCTGCCTCGCCCAGCCAGCCAGGGCACAAAAGGAAGAGAGCAACTTTGCCATATTCGGAATTTAAAGGTTTTTTAAAATGTTCATCTCGATTTTGTTTTCTCCCGGAAGGAATTCTGTCAAAATCAATATTGTACAAAAAAATAGAAAAAATAGAAAAAATGGAGACACTTCCTTCGGCACATTCTGGCTGCCTGGATGGCGGCAGCGCTGCTAGAGTGCTGGCTTGCTGGATGAAGGTCGGGCAGAGCTAGGCCATGGTGGAGGATAGACTCCATGAACACCAGCAAGCACAGTGTGCTACGGATGAGCTAAAGAATTCGGACATGAAGTAAAGAAGCAGGTCACGGAAACGGTAGAGACGTGGATCAGGGTCCCAGCGTGATGTTCGACCAGCAGATCCTCCTGACCACCCACAAACGATTAAGGCTCTGCTGGTTCAGAAAGCCACCACTGACAAGTACGATTTCACTTCACTGAGCAAGAAGGCGCTATACTTAAAGAGGCCAGGATAAGCAGCGCAAGTCAGGGGACTGTAGATGGGAGAAGGAAGAAGTTGCCCTGGGACTGGAAGAAGGGTCACCTCATGTTGGTAGACGCAGACGGCACTCGGATAGAGCTAAACGATCTTTCAGACCTGGAGGGAAGTGCTGAGTCAAGTACCAGCCAGACCAACTCTGAGGGAGAGACAAGCTAAGCAACCACACTAGGGGTCAAGGAAGTGGCTCTCAAGCCTCTCATGTCCCAGGTCAGATCAAAAAGGGCCTTCAGATTTATCAACGGCAGCTGTTGTCGGGCCCGGCCTCCTAAAAGTTCGGGGCTAGGGTAAAACTTGTCGAAACGGGATGGCAAAGGTGCTACTGGTTTAACAAAAAAATAATACATGATTAAATTGAACTCGATTTAGTTCATTCCCTGTGCAGTCACGCTGGTTATCTAAAGATTTTGCGAGTTCGGCGGTGAAACAGAAATTTTGTAGTGAAGATTGCTGAAATGCCCCTGAAAGTTTGGGTATTCAGCCAGATACCCTATAAGGCAAGGAGGGCGAAATGCCCCTATGACAGTAGTGAAACTTTGCAAAATACCCCGCTCCCCAATTGGACCTGTCATCTTTTGCATACACCCCTACCCGGCCCTGGGCAACTCGTCTATATGCCCCAATATTTTAGGCTGTTGGACCCTGTTGCGAGGGTTTACCCCTCAGCATAAGGCCCTGCAGCAGGCACGTGCCCGCCCTAAGTGAAGGCAGGCCCCCTAAATCACAATGTGGCCTGAACTCGTCAATTTTTGCAAATCGGGGTGGGCGCCAGACAGTTGCCACGCGCAAGTTGGTTACATCCACTTTGCTCGTAAGAATCGGAAATATGAGTGACCCTTCCAGGCTCTTCCAGCAACGTGGTGAAACAGGGAGCACCGCACATTTGGGCCTGGGTGGTTGGGCATGCCTAACCAATTCGGCCCCTGGCCACTGTCTGAATGGGCCTGGGGCGCAGATACTTTGGCCGAGACTGAAGCTACTGGGAACTCGCCCCGACAAGGCAAGCGGGTGGAAATACGCCCGCCACTTTCCATATAGGAAAGAGCTGGGCACCGGGCAAGACATTCGGGCACTTGCATTTGCGGGCGGCAGCGCTGCTGGAGCGGATGCTCGCCGGCTGCTTGCTGCGATAGCGCTGGTCCTGTGTGCATGCGCGGACGTGCAGGGTGTAGGGTACTGCTGAGGCCAGCGCCATAGCCAGCCCCCATAGCTGGGCTTGGCTTGGACATAGCCAGTGAAGGCGGTGATGGTCTCTGTGCACGAGGGAGAAGATGTGGGTGATGAAGTCAAGAGTAAGAGAGAGAGAGAGAGATGAGGTTGATGATGTAAGGGCACGTACCTGGTCTTGGCGATGGTCTACAAGGTCGACATCTTCATGTACTTTGGTTGTGGCTGCTGCCATCAACAGGACGCATTTTCAATTTGTGGGCTGCTAGTAGCTGTGTGATCGTCGTCTGGGCGCTGAGCGCCAAGTAGAAGGAAGGACTCTGGATACATATGTTGGTGGTGGCGAGAGTATGCCCTCGTTGACATTCGGATTCAGTGCTTTGGTTCTCCGTTGGTGGAATATCAGTGCATTCTGCTTTCTGGACAGCATTGGACTTTCTGGCTTTGAATGTTTGCATTCTGGATTTCTGTCATTTCGCTATCGATCATTTTCCTTGCAATTTGGTATCAGAGCTGGTTCGAGCCGCTCCGATGGCTCCTTCGCAATAGTTGTTTGGTGCTTCGCTGGTACTGTTGGGGCAGTGATAACGCTTGTGCGTTGGTGAGAAGGCGGCCCAGGGTCGTGTGGACGCGCCAGGAAGGCTATGTGGTGACATAGGGGTGCACGCTGGATGATGAGAGCTTGCTGATGTGGCATTTTAGCTGGGGTGGAACTGAATTGCATTGTGGGTTGTGCCGAGGTATCGACCGGTCATCATAAATGCACATCAGGTTACTGGTGAGAAATCTGTGGTTGAGGGCAGCATTATGAGGATGCCGACCACCGTCATCAAACCGTAATCTGGGTGGTCCGCAACCTCCATTGAACCCTATCTGGCTGGAATTGCGTGTGTTTCAATGATGGCCAACGGGCAAGGACGAAAGGGACACGTCACCCAAGAGTTGCTCACCTTCAGTCTTTCCACAGGAATCTGGAATACGTCAGACAGAAACCTTCGGAGCATCCCAGCTGTCGGTGCTGCAACCTTTGGATCAAAGATAACCTCTTGAGGGGACGAGAAGCCAAAAACTTGTCGACCATGTCCAACAGGCAGCGGCGGAGGTCGTGGAATCGCTCCTGTAGCAGCAACGGCAACTGGTCCTGATTCGCTCATTTCTCCGACTTCTGCTCCTAATTGGAGGTCCAAACCACCCAAATAACCTGAAGAAGGTGCAACCATGGGCCCTGCCATGGCCCCTGATACCGCTGCTGAAGACGATGACAATGGTGCAATGAGAGATTGGGTTGCCTCACAAGCTGACATGACCAGTGACGATGAAGATGTTAGAGGAACGGACAGTGAATTACCTTTCTCTGCAGCCGTCATACTTAGGCTGGACTGCTGCAAAGGGAGACCCTGGAATGTTGGCACACACATCGATGGCACGGAGAGACCATTGTGATTTGCCGGCATTGGCAATGATGGAGGGTTCAAGCTTAGCGGAGGAGGTTGGACTTTTGCAGCGACTGGCTTCAGAGGTGAGAAGGGGAGGGTAGAAATCTGCATGGGTGCACGTGCGCTTACTGGCCCCTTCATAGATGTGATTGATGATGCCGCTAGTTCACACACTGGCTTTCCCTTTTCTAGTGCCCAACAGTTGAGTTGGTAGTTCTTCGGTGTTTCAGCATTACTATCTGCTGTCATTGAGGGCACCAATCCTGCAGCTGACTGCAGAGACTCCATCAACATGGCTTGCTGCTTCACAGCACCTGCTGCTAGGGCCCACACTGCCATGGCAGCCACAGAAGGATAACCACAGCCTACAGGCTGAAGGCTTGCCGTCTTCTCCGGAATTGCTGGCGGAAACATTACAGCAGAACTTGGTTGCTGACAGCTTTCCTCATTTGGCACGTGCACCTCCGAGTCCTGAGCCATTGCAGCATGCAGATCTATATGGGTTGTATCTGTATCCAGCGAATTTGGTGAGGGAAACACAGTACCTGAAGACAAGGCCACACCTGCAGAGCATGGATCCTCACTTCTACCAGAAACCCCTGGCATGACTGAGGGAATGGCTGGCTTGTTCTTTTCCAGCCCACTCCCTGCTCCATCACCAAGTGAGATAGGCGACGGAATACCACATGTGGTACCAATGGACGTAGGCAAACTTGGGATTGCTGTGCAGGACACGGATTTAACAGGAATTGTGAACCCCTCACCTTCAGGTTTAGATCCCCTCGATGAGTTAATCCCCAAGCCATTTGCTTCAGATATGTTCTCACACAAGACAGACTCCACCCCTTTGGTTTGAATCTCTGATGCCCTGACTGATGACAGGCTGTTGTTCCCAGGCAACAGCAACCTACGATGTACGCAGAGAAGGAACGCATGGGGGGACACCTCTTGCACCTCTGATCTACTAGGAGAGGGCCTACCTTGGTCACCCTCAGAACGACCAACTTCACACAAGTTCACGCCCAGGCCCAAGCCCAGGCCCAGGCCCAGAACTGAAGTACCCATGGCGAGTGGAGTGCCATCTGAATGTCCACGGATGTCTGTGACAGCGTTGTCTGCAAATACAAGGTTATCTGCTGCTTGGCAAAGCTGAGGTTGAAACGGCTGGCTGAGCATCCACTTCACGGCTTCCTCCCTCGGCACTATACGGACTGCCAATACTCGGCCATCTCCTATATGCATCCGCCTTAGAATTTTGTCTTCTTGACGGAACTCTTTTACCAACCTGCCATTGATAATCTCCCGCACCCTCAGCATCCCATTGCAAGCTTTCAAAGGCGAACAAAACTCTGCTAGCTCCCCTATTCTTCCCTTCAGTTCTCGAAGCTTCATATCCTTTGATACTGTCAGCTCTCTTACGAAATGTATGCACGCTGCTGGTATTCCTGGCTCCAGAAGGATCAGATCTTCACTGGTATAGTGCATCCCCTTCTCCTCCTTATTCCCCTCCACAGTTGATCTCCTTGCACCTTTATCGGCCTCTTCCTCAGTTTGCATACCTTCCATTGACAGAGCAAGCGCTCGGCGCATGTCTTCATCCTCGCACCAGCCTGCATTTGACCTCGCTTCATCCGTAACGAGTTGATTCAATTCCTTGTCTGTTGTGCACTCTTCAAAACCACACCTATTCAACATTGAATTTTCCAGTGAAGGCCCTTCCAGGATGTTGACATCTGACACTCTCCTTTTGCAAGCTGTTGGACTCGATGCTGGTGTTGGGGCTGATGAGAGACTCTGTGAATCAAGGGTTAGGACAGCATTCGCCTTGGTATCCTTCCTGCTAGGTCCATCTCCTGGCGAGCTCCTGGGACGCAGCATTGCACCGTCAACCAGTCTGCCTGGCACTTCATGAGGAAGAAAATATCTGAAGATCTTCACAGTCATTCGATCTAGATCTGGAGCAGCACTCTCTTCCAACCACACCAAATCACCTGGCAAGGCAAATGCAAAGCAACGTCAGACCATCTGCACTTTGGCAACTCTTCTGGAATTTTTCTGAGAGTTATATGCAACTCCACCTTCCAAGCTCCAAGGTACAACGCCAAAGCATGGGAAAGGGCTTGCAACCATATCCGCAAAAACTGCAGACTCTGCTACCTGCTGATGCGTGCAACGTCACGGCTCACGGCAGGTCAGATAAAACGAGATTTGTCCCATAAGGACTGTGCGTCATGAATGGAAGTGGAGTGAGAACAGACAGAATACACACACACCTGGACTCGGAACAGACAGAATACACACACACCTGCCTGAAATCGAAAGCAACGCAAACTGAATAGACTGGACTGGGAACAGACAAAACACACACACACACACACACACACATGGACTCAGAACGGGAAACAAAACACACATGTCAGTCTGGGAACCAACTTCCCAAGCCCTTTGAATCAGCTGGGGTCCCTTGGCAAGGGTCCGGCGGCCGACGGCTGTCCCTGGAAAATGTCCGGGCTACTAGCCCGGTGTGGGAGGCCCTCAGCATGCCACATTACTTCACACCCAGGTTTGGGAGGCCCTCATGTTCCACATTACTCCACACTGGGCGCCACATTACTCCAGCCCTATGCGATTACTCAGCTCCTCAAAACAATCTCCCTGTGGAAGGGGAAACTCCCCGTTCCCTCAGACATTCCAAAAAGCAGAACGGATCCTACACGACACAGAATGAACAAAGCCCCCTAAACCTGTACCCTCTCGACTTAATAATGTTAAGGCAGTCTCAAAACGACCTGGTAGTTACCCGACCATAGTAACTATGTCAATCTTTGTCCTCCTGTTCATCACCTAACGTTCTGGAAAAACTGACATTTGGTTGTCATATGACATTCGGACTCTGGAGTACATACCAGCCTACCGCTTTGCCCATACTAGTTTACCACTCGTTAGCGATGATCTGGCGTGCAGCTGGCATCTCCCGATTCTGTCTGCCTGTCTGTCTGCTTGTCTCTCTCTCTCTCTCTCTCTCTCTCTCTCTCTCTGGCGTGCAGCTGGCATCTCCCAATTCTGTCTGTCTGTCTGTCTGTCTCTCTCTCTCTCTCTCTTATGACATTCGGACTCTGGAGCACATGCAGTAACCCTTGTTCCACAGCAGTCTGGGGGCCCGAACTGTGCCCAGACGACACAGGCCAAACACGGCCTGCGCCAGGAAGTGCGACCACGCACTGCCCCCTGGAAAGTCAAGGGTCCAAGTCAACTGTCAGGTCAAAGGTACCGCGCCCAGGCCCTTGGTCGGATACACTCACTTGTTGTGTTCAGGTACCCAGACAGCATCAAGGCCACAGGGAATTCTGTTGCAGGCCAATCTGGGCCGTCATTTGCATTGAGATCTCGACGGCTGAGGGATGCAGCACCTGGGGTCCAGACCCCGCGTCAACGCTACATAAGCGTTGACCTCCTGGCTTCGAAGGACATTCTGTCTTGCGTCAATGTCGACTCCACGCGTTGACGACGACGCTAGCATGACGCTGCGACGCTGGCTCGACGCTGGCAACTGGGCGAACTACGGCGACGCTCTGCTGGCTCGGCATGGTGGCCGGCTTGCAATTGTCTTCTGGGCATGCTGACGTGGCAGCTGCCTCGCGCCGCCGCTGACGTGGCCGCTGCCAAGTATATTATCATTGTTGACGTCTCCAGACGCTGGCAACTGGGCGAACTACGGCGACGCTCTGCTGGCTCGGCATGGTGGCTGGCTTGCAATTGTCTTCTGGGCATGCTGACGTGGCAGCTGCCACGCGCCGCCGCTGACGTGGCCGCTGCCAAGTATATTATCATTGTTGACGTGGCGAGGCTACACGACTGGTATTGCTGTTCTGTTTCGACGACATTCGGAAGGAGATCATGACTGTGGGGCGATAGTGGATACGTACCTGGTTATCTTGACGTCGACATTCCTCCAGCTCGCCGATGAGGACTGATTGACGTGCCACGTGGCACATTGTGTTAGAACTTCAGATTCGCGTTCAGATTATTGATTACTGAGGTGGTGATATTCTCCCTCCTCTCTCCTTCGTCTGTGTATGTTTTTCTCATCTCATTCTATCTGGACACGATTATGATTATTGATAATCATCAGCAGGTTGATATTCATCTGGCCTTGCATTGTTGACAAGTGTCTTCACGATCTGGGTCCATTGCAATTTGGTATCAGAGCTGTACTCCCAATGACGTGACCGACGACGACGACCTGTATGAGAACGACGACGGCGACAAGTGTGGGAGAGAGCTCGAGACACACGTCAGGTGCTCACGTGGCATTGGTCTCCCGACAGGGGATGTTCCAGTCAGGATCACATTACGATCCAGATCCCGATCGATCGCATTTGCGATCGGGATACACTGCTACGTGGCCAGTGATTATTGAGGAACGCTGACATGGCAGTGCTGACTTACCACTCGTCTATTGTGGGGAGGAGCTCCAGGCTGATGTGGCATTGTCTGATGTGGGGTCTCCCATTACCTGGCTGACGTGGCATTGTATGATTGACTGGCGACGTACTGGTATCGCTACAGGAGATCAGGCTGGCTGACGTGGACGAACAAGGCATACGCTGACGTGTACCCCCATTGATGATATGACTGGACGAACGTGCTGACGTGGCAGACTCGATGAGCTGCTATGTTGGCATGTCAGAGGTGACACATGGCAGCCACAAACATGCCTAAGTGGGAAGATAGTAAGATACACTTTGACGACGAAGGCGGCACGGTTGGAAGACTGACATGACTGTGGTGCTGGACGTCAGATCGAGTGTGTGATCACACCCGACTTCAGAAGACACAGCATCAGAAGAAGGAAGACGCTAACCATTGATGTTCTGTTTGTTGGCGGACTTACTTGTTGTCGTGAGATGTGTTGTGTGCCTGTCTACTCACTTGTGTGCTGTTGATGATCACGCTGGCCTGGGTTGCGGTACCTGTACTAGTATAGGACCTCATCACACAGAATAAACAGAACAGCAGTCAGATTACATAGGAGAAATTAAAATTATTTCTTTCTGTTCCACCCTATTGAAATCTTTTCTGTTCAAGATTCTGTTGGCTCAGGTGACTGATCAAATTAATTGTCTTCTTTTGATTATTTGAGGTAGATCAACCTGGCCGGCAAATTTTCTTGTTTTTGTCCTTCGAAAATGTCTCACTTCTGGAAAAATCTGCAGACGTCTATTCTGACGAGGTTTGTGACCACGTTCTTGTTTCCTATTCCGATCACGCTCTCTGTGGGCGATGGACCATTCGAGATTAAGACTCGGACGCAGGCCGAAAATAGGAAACAAGAACTGCTAGCCTTGTGGAATCAACTGTTGAGTGAAATGCATCTATCCGGACCAGATGCCGAACAACACATCCATAACAGATTTGATCTGCAGACGGCTGAGGGCCGTCTGAAGACAGCTGTTACAGCTGTGGAGGTTGTGGCAGCCGGGACCGAGATCTCCAAACTGGTTGCCCAGTGTCGTCAGGCGCTAGACCAGTTTGCATTAAAACAGTTGGAAGAAGTGATGGGATTGACTCGTAAAGGTGAGGTTAAACCAGAAGTGACTGAGGATACGATTGAAGCGAACATCCAGCAACTAAAAGAAACGCTGGCCGCGGAAGAAAGAAAGAAGAGCTGGCAAGAAGGAGAGAACAAGAACAAAGGAGGGAACAGAGAGTTAGAGAAATTAGACAAGTGATTGGGACAGAAACTGGGGAGCAGGTTGACATGTCGCATTCGTTGTCTCATATTATGACTTACCTTACCTTTTTGGAAGAGAAAATTGACAAACAGCAAACTCAGTTAGATGAGATTGCTGTAGGATTAAGAACAATCACAAACATTGTGAAATGAAAGAACCAGGTAGAAGGTAAGGAAGAAGAAAGAGAAGAAAAAAAAGAAGTGAAGAATGAAGAGAAGAAGTTGACGAGTGATGCCATCAAGTCTGCTGGTCCTAGAATTAAGACGTCGACCAATGGGACTGGATCGCCGAGTCCATCGTCTTCTTCGCCTAAATCTTCTCATTCTACTCCTCCCAAGTGTCCTTCTTCTTCGACAACTCCGGACAAGACAAGTGTAAAACCAGAGAAGCCAAAGAAGAAAGAAAGAGTGAAAATGAAGTTGCCTTTTGCTTTTAATAACAAGAAAGATAAAATTTTGCCTCTGTGGATTGCTGAAATCCAAACGTATGTAAGCACCGCTCGATCGAGACGGAGTCCCAAGTGGGGTTCACCACCTCTTGTATGGGAGGTGAGGCCAAACAATGGGTGTTGGCTGAGGCTAACGCGGCGGGTTTTGAAGACATCGGTGAGTGGGCAAAACATTGACCCTAAAACACTTCTTGGCCAAAATCAAGGGCCGTTTCCTAGACAAGACGATGGCGGACAAGGTGTTTGACCAATTAACTACGATTGGTCAAAAGCATTGGACGTCGGTCGTAGCTTTGTCCTGCGCAGTCGACCGATTGCTGCAGGATTGAACCTGCAAGACAACCAAGTGCTGTACATTTACTCCCGCGCATTGCTTGAACCCATCCGGGGACACTTGGTGGTGGAAGCAAAGTCCGGTAAGTATAATTATAGGCAATTTCGAAACCTCGCTCTGCAAAGGGAGCAAATGACTTCTCAAGTCAAAAACTCATATGCAACCATAGTTAAGTCTGGAGGAGGAGGAGGGGGGACGATGTATGACGACAGAAAATGAGTTATCTGGCGACAAAAGTGTCAGGATCACATCCTCGTTGTCTTCGATGATGACATGGTGGAAAAGTGGCCGAGAGAAGACGAAAAAAGGATAACAACAGTGACTCCGGAAAGGGGGAAGCCACTGCTGCTGTGGCCACCAGGGGAGGGCCAACCAAAAATAATGTAAGGAAGAAATCGCGCTTGTTTCCAATACACCCTGGCATTGTCGAGGGGAAGCCCTAGTTAAAGATGGGAATAACTCGTGAAACTTGGC